TTTTTTTTTTTTTTTTTAATGTGCCGACTGAAACAATAATCAGCACTAGCTAGCTAAAGTCTTGCCGCAATAAAAATAAATGATGTAACAAAGGATAAGGCACTACGCAACAATTGAATCGAGACAAAGTAAGTTGGCCTTCTTTGCTGAGGATTGGTGAATGTTGACGCTAAAACAACGTTTAGTTAAGGCTCATTTCATGCCAATATGGCACGCAAGAACTCTATATGTTGTATATTAATTATATATATATCTTCAAATTATTATTCAACTTATACATCTCACCCTCACCCATGGTCAATTCAACACTCCAACCGGTTTTTAGGATTTTGATTCAACATATATTCCCTTTTTCCCGTGTTTATTGAGATATATATCAATAAAAATCTAATATAAGTTTCACTAGCTAGCTATCAACTATATTTGATCCGACAATAAAAGTATTTGTGTTCTTAAGTATATATAATGGAATAATTTATGTTCTTAATAACAAATTTAAAATTTTATTTTTAACTTCTCCATATTATTAAAAAATATATAAAAATAGCTGATAAAATATATATATATATATAAGTAAAAATCTAAGTTCATAGAAAAGATACATTCCAATAGGATACACCTGATTTTTATGGTAGTTATAATTACAAAATAGTATATAACAAACCAAGGTACAACATAATTAATCAATTAACTAAACTAGGATTAATAGAAATCAATATGAAACTGGACGTCCAACAATGTTAAAAATAATAATAATAAGAAGAAATAGCATAAGAATGAAAAGAAAGTTTCAAAGCGTAATTTCACTTTTCTTAGGGATTTAAAATCTTTAAAGATACAACATAACTCTAAATTCTTTCAGAATTAGATGTAAAACTTTAATTTCTATAAAAGAATTTATCTTGCCTAAATTGTCACTATTTGTATCCCTATAGAAAGACATCATCCCATAAAGGCATCTTTTGATTACCAAAAGTTATGTCTGATTTTCAAACACATTTTTTAAGTTCAAATTTAATAAAACAAATTAAAAAATATGAAAACAATAATAAAAATAAAGTTCTAGCAAGTCAAGCCCATCTTTTGATGGTATATATAAGGGGCAAGGCTTGAGCTCCTATGTGTTTTATTTTTTACTTAACTATTTGTTGATAATAAGTAGGTTTTTATAAACTCCTTTAAATTCCTATTCTTTCTTGACTTGAGATATTAACACTTACAAACTATTTAACATTCCTCCACTAATTTGAAAATGTAACATTTACAAACTATTCAACAAACAATATGCAAGAGTAGGACTCTAACATGAAATTTCAAAAAGTTCAAGGTTTCTACGTTTTCATCAGTATATCATCAAAAAAGCGCCATCATTGGCATATAAAAATAAGTTACACATGCATCTAATTCATCATATGTGTTCCTAATTAACACATTATTTTAAATAAAACTGCATAACAGGAAATCTCTTAAGAGATTTTTTGCCTCCTATCTCCATTTCAACCTCAAATCCTAGTCGGATCAAAATTTAAACTTCGTTTGGCAACATTTTTTATTATTTTAATTTTTAATTTTTATAACTTTTTATTATTTTAAAAATATATAAAATATTAATTAAAATAAATAAAGAGTATACTAAACATATTTTATATATTTTAAAGTTATTAAAAATTTTAAAAATTAACAACTACAACTACAAATTAGCATTCCTAAGTTAAGCTTTAATTAGACGGCCGCTTCCCCGTTTATGTCAATGCCGCCACATCGATTAAATTTGAGTAGTCATATGTATTTCACTATTTAAGTAAAAATTTAGAAATAATTCAAAGTAAATAATGGAGGAAGAATCAAGCTGGTTCTTTTTCTCAGTTTAGAGAGAGCAAGATTTTTCTTCATAGGCTTGATGTCAGTTTTCACTTATGGTGATGAGATAGTGAGCTCTATCCGT